GTCGGTCCCTGCCCTAGGGAACCTGCTGTAATATGGTGCAACAATAGCTCACTTGTGTCAGCTCTCCCACACCAGTGGGCCACAGGAGAAGCCAAAAGGAGACCCTAGCAACCGGCCGCAAGCCAAGGCAAACTCCTGTGCTCGCTTAGTTTCTATCACAGCCACAGCAAGTCTCAGCTCAGAACTACTATTCCTCACCTTTACAAAACAAATATTTTTTTTTTTTTAAGAGGCCTGACAAGGTGTGCTCTGCCCCCCAAAATCCCAAGAACCCATAGTCCAAAGCTTACACAGTTAGGCAAACGTAACTGTACCTTTGCCTCGTTGCAGGGAACGAATCAGCTAGATCTGATTGCACCATAACGCACTGGAGATATTCAAATGGCAGAACTGCTGCAATAATGTTTCCTGTGGAAAATTACATTCTGATTTAAGGATGCAGCAACTTTTGGATATAAGTATTTCAATTCAAAGAATCACCATTTTTAGCATGTTAAAACCAATCTTTAAAGGCCAGCAGAAAATGAAATTTGTGCTCAACTGCTCTCCTTTAGCAGATGAATGTTTCCATTTTTAAGTGTCGCTTCTCCTTTATAATATCGAGTCACAAATTCTGAAATTTACTCTTTAGAAACCAAAGCCAAATATTTTACAACATTCAGCCGAAGAAGGAAAGAACATTACGACCACAATTCCATTTAAAACATCTTGTGCAATTTAGATCTAAGTTACGGCAGCACAATAGTCATACCGTAGGACAACATGCAGGTTTGGTTGTGTCTACACGAGACCAAAACAAAATCCTGCTGCTGAAAAATCTCTGCGAACATCAAAAAGTGGTAGGGGTTTTTTAATGTAAATATTCATTGGTACGTTTTTTTGTACATTTTCCTTTTGGAAATAAAAACATACAAAGTTTTCCTGTAAGAATTCAAGGGCTGCTTGAGTTCCAAATTCACTGAGGGACGTTTTGCTCTGACTACTGCTGTTAGTTAAGCTCAAGCAATTAATAATGCCTGTTTACAGGATAGATCATACTTCTGACAGGCAAAGATCAAAACGTGTATGTTTCTGGTAAGACTGCAGCCTTTCTTAAATACTGGGTCTTCAGCAAGTAAATGAAGACCATGATCTATGATGTTTTTCTTGGATGATGCCACAAAAGAAAGATTAAAAAAAGGGAACTATTTGAGAGGCCAATGGTTTATGAGTCACATCACCTGTGTCAGAGCAGACTTTCTTATACAGGTACGTTTCATTCACCATGCAGTTTACTCACTCATTTGGAAGCTTGGGGTTTTTATGCTATTTTCTATACCTTAATCAATATCACAGATGGGGAACTAATGTTCTAGTGAATTTTATTAAGAGTATCAAATCCTAAACACCCTACTTTCTCCTGGAATTCTTCCAACAGTCTCACACTACCTCCTTGTTTTTAGGAGTGAACTTACAGAGATGCATCCGAGACTAAGGTTTCCATGCAACTTCCTAGTTGTTAGCACTAAGACTCAGAGTTCCTTATTCAAATAGCATTTTCATTTCTACATTGAGCCACGTACAATAAACAAGTCCCATTCACGTTTCAGCCTGACAGTGAACTGACTATACCTGAACAACAACTGAGGATGCCTGCTAGAGGTCACAGGCAGTTCTCAGCTGAAAGCTCCCTAGCTTTCAGGCAGCCCCAAAGATTTCCCAGATACCTCCATTTCTGTGAGGATACAGCTTTTTCTCATTTGTGCCTCAACAATTCTAAGAAAGGCCCTGAAATTTCTGTGGAAGGCGCTGCTGCATGCCACAGCTCTGTCACAGCAAGTCCTGCAGTAACACCTCTCGCGGCTACCTGTCCCGATGCCACCCCTCCCCAGCCATGCTAAGAAAGCCAACACCCGCGCGCAGCACGTACCGTGCTCAGGACGTAAATCTCATCCCCTGGGCAGCGCACCCGGACAGCTGCGCGCTGCAGATACCACCAGCCCGCCCCGGCAGCAACCACCCCCTCGGGGCTGCAAATCTGGGTGCGCTAGCGCTGCCGAGCGGCGGCAGAGCCGGGCC